CTTTGCTCCATGCCGCCGGTTAAAACCCTGTTCCTTTCTGCGCTTTCTGTCACCAACAGAGCACTCCAAACCCTGTCCGATGGGGTCAAAATGCATGCGCAGCTTCCTGTTCATCACAGCCTGCGGTGAAAAAAATCATTTCGGCGCTAGTGGATACGGTGTTGCTAAGTAGAGAAAAAGGAACCAAGCAATCAACTCCTCTATACATCCCGCTCCCATTGATTTGTGGAGAGCTCGCTTGCACGTATTGACAAACCTTTGTGCCTGACTATTCGATTGTGGGTGAAACGGCGGCGAACAAATGTGCTGAAGGGCGCATTGCTTTCAGAACAAATTGAAAGTTGCCGAAGTGAATAGTGTGCCATTGTCAGTTACAATTGTCGCAGGACAGCCGAATCTGCTAAAAGTTTGGCACCGTTTTGCTACAGTGGCATTGGTGGTTGTGCTATCCATGAGAAACACTTCAAGCCGCTTGCTGTATGAGTCCACTATAATAAGCAAACTTCTGCCGTTTACCGGTCCTGAAAAGTCGACATGGATGCGACACCATGGCTTAGTAGCTTTCGGCCATGAATAGAGTTCAGATTTTTATGTCGTTTTCAAGATATTAGCGCACATTTGGCAGCCTTTAGCTATTTTTTCTAGCTGTTTGTCCAGGTAGGGCCAGTATACAGAACTGTAAGTAAGCGCCATCAGCTGGTTGATTTCAGGAGGCTCGGCGTGGAACTGTCGTATAAGGCACTTCTGAAGTGCATTTGGGATGATTAGACTTGCGGAAACTAGTATGCGGTCGTTCACAATAGAGAGCGAGTGTCTTCTCTGGAAGTACTTTTGCAACTCGGTAGATGGACACGAACATGGCCAACTTGTTTTGTGAAACTGTGTAACTTTCATGAGTACTGGGTTCCGAAGCGTTTCAGTTCGTACAGCTTCTGCGCTAACTTGTTGACCATGCAATGCATTAGGTACCAAATATTTGACGTCAGGTTCGATTTCGACCGAGGCAATGATTGTGTCCTTAGGTTCTTGCTGATCGGCATCAATTAATCGTGGCAGTGCCTCCGCTCAGCAAATGCAAATTGTTGGCTGGTAGTGGATAACGAAACCATATTTCAGTAAGCTAAGAGCTCAACATTGTAGCCGGTTGGCTGTGTAGGCCGGGATTCCCTTTTTGGAACCAAAGATAGCCAGCAAGTGCCTGTGGTCTGCCAGAAACTTGAAGCAGAGGCTGTAGAGTTCGCTGACCGCGTACACTATGGTTAATGCTTCTTTCTCAACATGGCTGCCTACATAAGTGCTCTGGCTGCACGCGCGATTGCTTTCTGAGATCCATCGGCGTATGTGGGTGAAATTACTGCACAAATTCCATGGCTTGATGCATCCGTGGTTAGGACAATAGCTTTGGTGGTGTCAACCTGTGTCAAGAGCAAGTTTGAAGGCAGCAGTGTTTTGACCGGTTTGAAGGCATTCTGCAATTCTGATGTGCGGCTTCTAGTTTGGCCTTTGGCTAGCAACATGCGTAAGGGGGCAGGCAGACCGCGCATCTCAGACAAGAACGCGCTATATTGGCCAATGAGTCCACAGAAGGAACACAAGGACTGTAGATCTGTTGGTGGATGCATTTTTCTAACGGCTTCTACGTTTTCCAGAGCTGGTTGACGTCCATGCTTTCCGAGGATAAAACCGATGTATTTGATGATCCACGTGTACTATGTGCATTTATCCTCACTGATCCGGAAACCGTACGACTGTATACAACCAAGCACTTTATCCAAACGGTTACATAGCATTTCCGGTGTTTGACCCACCACATGGACATCGTTCAGTTATGCAGCGGCTCCAGAAACGCTCATTAGAATGGTATCCATCTACTGTAGGAAAATAGCTTGCGCATTCCTTACAACAAAGGTCGAGCAGTCGTATTGGAATAGCCCACAATAAGCGTAATCGTTAAAGCACCTTCGGGATTTTATCAACACGTACTCAAAGCTAGGCATCGGATAGACCAAGTTTAGTAAAGAACTTGCCACTATTCAGTTCTGCAAAAATAGCTTTCGGTACGGGTAAAGGGTACTAGTGGTTGTTCAGCGCAGTGTGAATGCCAGTTGTGAAACCAGCGAAGACGCGTGCCTTGCCATTTGCCTTCTTCACTGAAACATTAGTTGCGGCCACTGATGAGTAAGTTACGGCTGTGCTGAATCCGGCACGTTGCAGTCGATCGAGTTCTGGATCAACGGTTGACAGGGCTGTGTATGGTACCGGTCTCTTAGCATTCAACGCTGGTTTAGGACCTAGTCGCAAGCTCAGCGTTGCATTGAATTTTGTAAAATGATTCAAGCCATCCTGAAAAACAGAGGCAAATTTTCGTTTAAGGGTACGTGTCATGCCTTCGACGGACTTTGATAATGGGTCTGGACTTGCTCGAACTCGGTTGCAGACCTAATTCAAGGGAATAGCGAGGAGTTGCAACTCTGCAATCCAGTCGAGACCAAGATGATTCAACTTCGGCCGGTCTGAAATGTAGCACTTTCCTGACTTTCCCACACCTTTGAAAACAAGCTCGCATGTAAGTTTGCCCATTAAGTTCAACACACCGCCGGATGCATTATGTGCAACTTCCTGAGACTCGATAATCTTTGGCCTCTTTGTGAAATTCGAGATGCTCCTGGAACTAATCGGATGTCCGGGGTAGTGTCAAATTGCAGGTTCTTTGAGTTTCCATTGATAAACACCCTGCAAAATTGGCGTCTCTGTTTATAATCACTTTGGAATCTGGTAAATATGGACAGTGACTCTGAGCCATCCTTCCTATGGTCCGTCTTTCGTTAAGAATTCTTAAGGTCCTTCGAGTAGGCCTGACTGCAGAATTCCTCCTTTTGCCCACGCTTATGGCTAGTTTGACAAATATAACTTTTGAACGGATAATAGCGAGAAAAATGTTATTCGTCGCCTGACCAGCATGCTGCTGGAGGTTTGTTCGTAGACCACTTGAAGGGTTTACTTAGGTTGGCCATCCTGGCCTTTTTCATGATGTGCACGGTATCTGGTGGCGCGAGACCATTCCGTTCGACTATAGCAGTATCGTGCTTTAATGTGGGCAGCCGTTTGCATTCGCTTACCAGAGCCTTTACTGTGGGATCAGGATCCTGATCCAGCTTAGCTTTAACTGCGTGCGGATCTCAGCATAAGTGAGGAATTGTGAAACGACGACGAAAATGAGACAGTTAAAGAGCGTAGTTTGAAACGTTCACACTCACAGTTAATCATGTCTGCTGGGCCCGAAAGTTGTCCCATCCCTGCTTGACAACTTTCAGGCATTGATAACAAATAGTAAATAAGAATACTGACTCACTAAAACTTCCTTTAGCTACGACACTACTTCGTCAAAGGTCAGATTCATCGGCTGTTTGGGCATAATGTGGTCTATGAAACTTGAATGTTTACTTATTTCGAGCATGCAAGGTAACAATCGCAACTTCTAGGAGTCCTTTTCACGAATGAAGACCGTCCGGAACATATCCTCCCAGCGCTTAAACCACGCTCAGAATTTTCATCCAAAATACGCGTCATAATTGAATTCACTGACTATATTCATATGAAGATCAACAGAACTCGCCTGCATGTCCCACGTCGTTGCTCATGTTGTCTACAATCTCAAACATTGCGTCAGATTTTCGATCACTTATATTTGTGCCTGCATTTGCGATTGCTGTTGGAGAAGCAGATTTTGCAATTGTTTAGCAGAAAAAATGTAGACAATTTCCAATTTGCTCTGTCGCCATATGTTCTAATTTTTGCACCAAACGCGGTTCCGTAATGGACACTTTATTACTCAACAAAACGTTAAGCCTGACCGTAGGCAAAAGCAGTAAGCCAGTAACCTTGACAAAGTAATCTATTATTCGCTGTCAACAAACACTGTACAACTACTGTGGACCTTGGCTCTTGTTATAACTCTCTTACTGACCGTCGACTGCTAGAATTGGTAGAGCAGCTACCAAGTTTAGTGATAGATTTTGCCAGTGTCGGGTGGTTTATAGGCAAGTGCAGAAACTAGACGATTTCAAAAGGTTCAAAGTCGATGCGATAATCGTTAGGTATGGATTGATTGCTAACATAGTGGATTTTCAATGCAATGCTTACATTATCCCGGACAGATTACATTGGTGAAACGTAAAGGAATAATAACAACCAAAACAAAGGTAAATGAAGATACATTCTCAATATATTGAACGAAATGTTAGCAAATTAGATGAAGGTTAGCAAACATTGGAGTGGCGGGAACAAATTTTAAATGGATATGAAATATAATTGTGCCTATAAGACAAGAGATAAGTTTTGCAGCGCATTATTCACTCAGTAGTCTCTCAGTAGTAATAGGATATTGGGGAGTCATTAGGATTGGTTACAGTTTGTTGTACTAAAATGCCTACATACAGAATTTATTCCGAAATAAATTCTGTAATCTATAGCACAAGCAAACCTTTAGACAAAAACCGGCTTGAGCCAAGCAGACTAACGTATCTGCTTTGTGGCAATGCAAGACGGCTAAGGTGATTAAGCAACCTACGGACAAAATCTTTTCATCATATCTTAAAATGTTGTGTGGGTACGTTTCAGCAATTACATGAAAATGTTTTGGTTGTTTGCTCTTCCTCTGTCGCACTTTCTTTAATCTTGACCCAAGAATCAGCAATGAATTTGATTGTCTTTTTCGATTAGTCGCGCACAATAAAGTATTCAAGTTAATGAAGGACATGTCTTATTCCTGCAAAATCTCCTGACTAGTCTGAGACCGAAAACACGCGGAAATGAGCAAGTAACTATTCGTCAGAGCATTCAACTCTAACAATCACCCATAGGTATATACCTTCAACTACCTTAACATTCATTTTATACCGAAATCATAAGATATACAAAGGAATTGATAACATACGGCTATGAGATGAAATTACCCGATAATACATTCAGGATATGTCATTTCAATACACTATCCTTACTAATATTTTTCGCCAGAAAGTAATTTTTCCATTGTAATACAATAAGTCTCTGCATCTCCAAATACATAGTTCTCTCCTTTGAGCGAAATTCGAGCGCGGCCCACAGGCATGACTAAATTAACGATAGCCAATCATCTGCTTGAAAACATTACTCCATTTGAGGTCAAATGTTATTTGTTCAGCAAGGAAGAACAAGAAACTGCCTTGTAACTCGCCGTATCATGGTTAAAAGTATAAAGTTATGCATGTTTCATGCTATATTTTGGTGCATTTACCTTGGTACATTAGACGATTTGCATAATATTGTAGAGAAGAATGGAAACTGTTTGTGGCGCGCATTCAAAGTTGAATCGTTGCAATAACAACACTCTCTCCTGTTTGCGTTTCAGAGCGCCTTTCCTGCTCAATTACTGGAGGAGAACAAGAACACAACGACATTGGTTAACTGTAACTTCTTTTTTCCAATTTACCTCATGTTTGTTACCTTATGTAGAGGCTACGTGTTGTGTAATAGAACTTCGTTCTCAACCCTTGGATTTCTTCCGTGCTTGCGTGTTACAAACGTGGCGACCCTGACAAGCCACAAGAATCAGTAATCCAGCATCATTATTCTAATAAATATCATGCCAAAAATGAAGGAATGATGACGAATGCCATTCTGATGTCGTTGACCCCACTACCAGACTTTCCGCTTCACTGGATGTTTTTTCCCGCGCTTTGGAAAATTTGTCAGCAGGCTGGAGTTCCTCGGTCTGTATGCATGCAATCCCTCCTCCGAAATATTACACTTCCGGGATTACGTACTCCAGATGGGAGAAGCAATTGCAGCTTTACCTCCGTCAGTTTCCAGTCAAGCAACATTCTGGCGTGCTCGCCGGCTTGATGTCGGGGGACACTTTTGATATCGTTGCTGATAGTAAAATTCTGGAAAAAGAAGTACGTCTCAGACGTTCTATGCCTCGCGCCGCCTACTGGACCCTCCTGCTTTACCTGCACCCCTACGCAGATAATTCCATTTCCGGTACCATTGGCCGGGGGAGAGCATTAGGACATACGTGCGCGAACTTCGAAAGAGGGCCGACATCGCGTACGATCGCGAGTCATCAAGCGAGTGTGATAAACGAACACTAGAGAAACTTCTGGAAATAATCCAAATACCATCCATTAAACGTGGATTCCTTCTTCACCCCACCCCCCGAGGAGTTGGATGCAGCCTTACGGGTTGGCGAACAGCTAGAGAAGGTCGACAGAGCAATGGATACGCCGAGTTCAGCGTGTTTCTCGTTGGGAGGAACCGGACGCCCCAGACGTGTGTCAACGGAACGGTTTACGTGGCATCCTAACTATCGTCAACCATATTCAGGCTCCCGACGACCAACGTAACCTGGTTCTCCATGGCCCCGTCGACAAATACCGAACCGCTGATTATCTCGCTACAATAGCTGACCCCCAGGTGAGTGGTAGCGATTGCATTCACACTTTATATCAGCCATTGTTTGTGCATCGACCACACAATCAGCATTAACAAAAGAATTACAGATCGCAGGTGTTCCGTTAATAGGTCTCATCGACACAGGCGCATGTAAGTGCCTAATCAGATATAACTTGACTAACCAGCTAGCAGATCGCGTTTGCGCGCCTTGCCGCTGCCGACTAACTGCCGCCAATGGAGAATCGTTGTCGGTTCGAGGATCCTTAACCGCACAAGTTGACGTCGCGAAAAGGAGCTTCACCCAGGCGTTTAATTTGCGGACAACATTCCGTTTGCTGTTATCGTTGGGATGGATCGGTTGCGCCGGTTGAAGTGCCGATTGGCTCTGGACAGGTACCAACTAATCACTGATAACTGCACAGTACTGTTAAGACCCTGTGAAAGTAGTAATTTGGAAGCGTCTAAAACCTATGAGGGCAACTTAGACGGTGAGAAATACATTAACGCCGGTACGACAAATCCGGTACGAGCAGCTTGTACCGGTATCCTCGTGTGCTGCTTGCTGTGCGCAGATGAAGCAGCGGTCTCAACATGGCGCAATCTTCAAGATGTAATATCCGGTGCGTCATGATGAGGTCAACCCTCAGTCGACGACAAGCTAGGATGTACAGCCCTAGTTTCTTACATCGGTCTTCGTACGGCACACCACTTAAATTGGTGATCACCATGGTGGTTACGTGATGCACTCGCTCTATCTTTTCTACCTCGCCCCGGCTGATAAGACAATACGCGGGAGAGCCATACACTAGCATTGGTCGTACTATTGAGACAAAGAGGTGAGTGCCAATCTCTTCGGACCAAGTGGTGAAGCTGCGCCTGAGCTCCCAAACCATACGAAGGCTGTTTTGGTAAAGCCTATTCGTGTTGACCATGGACTTTAGATCGTAAATGTTACACCTGCTAACAATCCGATAAGCGTGCGAGTCCCCCGAATGCTCCAGTCCAACGTATCGTATACCCAGTGAAGCCATGGGCAAAAATTGCCATGGATTTTATGGGCCAGTTTGCCAATGCCCCTCCGCAGAAGCGAAAGGTTCTAGTGGTTACATGTTTCTACAGCAAATGGCCTGAGGCTATTCTATGCGGGGAGATAACTACAGCCATCATCGTAAAGTGCCTGCGTGATTTGTTTGTAAGGTACGGTTTGCCAAAAGAAATAGTCACTGATAACTGCTCACAGTTTCGAAGTAGCGAGTATGCTGAATTCCTAAGGCACAATGGTATCAGACACATGAGGACTGTACCTTATAATCCTTCAGCGAGTGGACTCGTCGAACGACTTAATCGTATTTCAAATGAATCTCTACAAGCCATTCGGCTTTCGGGAGAACCCTGGGATGATGCGTTGGTATCTGCATTGGAAGTAAACAGAAGCAGTCCACATACTGCAAGGGCAATGAACCGCTCAGAGCTAAGGCTGGAGCGAACAATTCGAACTCGATTAAATTACTTCCGAAGAAACCGCTGATCAGAGTGCATACGAAAGACGGGCTGTTTACTAAGCTAAATATAGACGCTTTGGGAAAACTTATCCTGCAGGAACATTTGTTCGTGTGAGACCACCCAATTCCCCGAAAGGAGATAATGTATTCGGACCGCCGACCAGTGTGGAATCTGTGTGCACTCCAGGAACTTAAATTTGGCTGATTGGACAAAGGTGCATGCATGAGGGCTGCACACAGCGCTTTCCCAACGTGCTATTGAACAGAGGAACACACCTACAACACAACGCTCGGTACAAACCAGTACAAAAATTACGACGCTCCAGTCGGATACGCCTCCCTGTCTACCGATACACTTTAACGGATAACATAACATGAGAATTCATCCTTCGTGGACGTGTTGTGCCTATATTTTACGAACAGAGGATTGGATAATGTCGTGTTCAAATACTTTGCTTTGTTTCTCTCATCCTCGATTCTCTTATCCTATCCATACTTCTATGTAGCACTCGTTTAATTATCATGTGATCTTGCATTAGATTAGTTGCAGTGCGAACCTGTATCGATTTAATTGTACTGTGCGCGTGTGCGGACAGTTTCCCCCCTACATACATACGTTCCGGTGCACACCTGTTGATCGTTTTTCCGAGCTTGATTAAGAAATCGCATACGTTTCACCACCATGCGAGGTGGCATCTTCAGTGCAGTAATAGCCAGTGTGTAATGCTGCTTAGGGAATTGTCAGTCCGTCATCCACGGGCAGGTGACTTTCGAAGGTGGCGATTTCGATTTGTGCCACGTGATCTCTGCCCATTTGCTTCCACGGCTGAACCAGGTCTTGCGATTCGCCAGAGATTTTTCTTTCGGAGTTGATGGTACACGGGGTCAATGTCGATGCGCATGTTGATCGAATTATTAGAGGAGTACCATCCTTCTAGGAACTCTCTTCCTTTCTGTGTTGTTGTTTGAGTTAAAATCACTGTTTGGTTCCAATTGAAGCTATGTTCCTCCTCATCTACATGCGCTGAGACAAGAGACGATGCACAATGCTTTTTACAAGTCCTCTGATGTTCTTGTATTCTTGTGGATAACTTCCTTCCTGTCTGCCCCACATAGTTCATTTCACAATTATTGCAATTTATTTTATACACGACGTTTGTTCGTTCTTGTGCATTCCTAATATCCTTTGGGTTTGATAGTATTCTTCGCAAAGTAGCGGTTGGCTTATGAGCGACCACGATGTTGTATTGTTTGAGCAATCTGGCAGTCATTTCAGATATGTTCTTCATATACGGCAAAACGACCCTCTTGCTTGCATTTGGTATCGGCTCGGTGTTCATACGTTTATGGTTTAGACATCTGCGGATGAAGCTGCGTGGGTGGCCATTGCGCTCGAACGAATCAAATAGGTGTTTCTCTTCTTCCCGTTTGGCTTCCACTGTACTGCAGTGTGTTTCAATCCTACGCAACTTATTTTGTGGCACTTTGGGTGGTTACTATAGAAGTTCAAAATTTGATCCGTATGTGTCCCTTTCCTTTGAACGGATGTTTGAAATTCACCATCGTTTGTTCTGGTCACCAACACATTCAAAAATGGGAGCATGTTTTCTGTCTCTAACTCCATTGTAAACTGAATCCCATCCATTGCATTGTTGAGCAGTTGGTGTACGATTGCTACTTCACTGCGTTTCAGTATCACAAATGTATCGTCAACATAGCGTACCCACAACTTCGGGTTAATAGCTGGTAATAGATCTTCTTCCAACTTTTACATGGCGATCTCAGCGATCAGACCTGATATTGGTGATCCCATCGGTGCCCCCTTCACTTGCTCGTAGATCTCTCCGTTTTGCCGTACATGAAGAACATATCTGAAATGACTGCCAGATTGCTCAAACAATACAACATCGTGGTCGCTCATAAGCCAACCGCTACTTTGCGAAGAATACTATCAAACCCAAAGGATATTAGGAATGCACAAGAACGAACAAACGTCGTGTATAAAATAAATTGCAATAATTGTGAAATGAACTATGTGGGGCAGACAGGAAGGAAATTATCCACAAGAATACAAGAACATCAGAGGACTTGTAAAAAGCATTGTGCATCGTCTCTTGTCTCAGCGCATGTAGATGAGGAGGAACATAGCTTCAATTGGAACCAAACAGTGATTTTAACTCAAACAACAACACAGAAAGGAAGAGAGTTCCTAGAAGGATGGTACTCCT